TGGTCCTGGACGTATCTGACTGCAATTACGTCCAAATATCAGTCAAAGACGTCCTGTGTGAGTACATTCGTAGCATGCACCAAGAAACTTGAGTGTGTAGCACTTCTGAGTTGTTCCAGTATTTGGCAGGCAGTCAAATAATGCAAGAATATGAGTGGGAACGATATTCAGAAAGCCAAGTTGCGAAATCACACAGATGTCCAAGTAGACGTGTACAAGCAGAGAGCACAAATGCACCAAGATTCCTTCCAAATAAGAGCAATACAATGAAGTAATGAGCTAATGTTCAAGCCCTCAGGCCACACCAACACAGTATCCAAAGTCGATCCACTCTGTCTGCCGCCCAGCGCCCAGTCTACACTATTCGACTATCCTACCTACATCAGCATTCTCGCAACAGGCTCACTTTGACTCTCGAAGACCAATGTACATGACGTCAACACCATCGCCGACCCCTCTCATGTACCAGGTACGTATCTCGTCTCCCCTCGTCAGACCCTGTCCACCCACTCTCGCCTCCTTCCTGAAGACCACCGATCGCCCTCTTACCCCCAGCGCCCAGCAGCCCGGCTATGGCTGCTAGCGCTCCGCTGCCCAGCAGCGCCCCTCTCACCTCTCGTGCGCCCCGCAAGCGCCCTGGCCGCAACACAACACGCAGCCTCTAACACAGCAGCGCAGCAGCGTGACCAGAATGCCAGACCCGGGCTGCCTTCCTTCCTATATGGAAGTGGCAGCCTCTGCCTGGCTGCGTGTGGCCTGGCTGGAAGCTTCCAGTAGCTTCAGGTTGGGCCCCAGTGCCTGCGCCCAGGCCCAGTGCTACAATTGAGGGCCTGGGCCCTTTACAGTTGGGCACGGCCTGAGTCTCCAGACTTGGGCCGTTTGCTGCATTTGCACAGGACCCGGGGTATGTATGTCGACAGTGCTGCTTTTGCGTAGGCCTGTGGCCACTTCGTGATGTATTGGCCCTGGATTGTGTGTATGTGCCCAGGCGCAGCTGCCAAGGCCTGGGCCAAACTGTGCGACGGAGCTTAGGGAGATTCATGCGTCCACTCAACCAAACTGGCGGGCTGCAACATCCTGAGTACCCACATATGCAAAATGTCGAATTTTGGCCTCTAGTAAATATTCGGGCCCGCCTTCACTTAGGGCGGGCACTTGGCTTGCTGGGGGCCTCTGCCCAGAATATGTGCATGCTTGACAAGGGCCCCGTGAGGGCTCATTCCTCGCATTCCATCCCCCTTAGCTTCGAAAGTCCGCTGAGATGCTTCATACTGGTGCCTTCCCCTTCAATTTTTTTTCATACTCGGTCACGATCTGAGGACCTGTCTTGACAAGTTCCTCTCTTGTAAACCATCGATCTTCCTTGGGATCAATATGATGCCTGAACCATACTTTGTACTCTCTCACAGGTTTAGGCGATCTACCCATGCCAGCTGGCTTGGGAACAGGCATGTCTCTGTGCTCCAGGATATCGTTGACGTCCACGTGACCATCCATGGTTGGGGGCAGCATAGATCTCCTTGATGGGAACTGTTCTGTCTCAGTGAAAGGTGCAAGCTTTGAGGCGTGAAACACAGGGTAAGTGCGTAGGTGCCAAGGGATACAAATCACATACGAGGGACCATCCAAATCAATACCCACAATATCTAAGACTTCCCAGGGACCGAAATACTGAGGCATTAGTTTTCTAGAGATGTCGAACTCCTGTCCCAACTCACTAGCCTTGACCCAGACACATTCCCCTACTTGAAATGTGGACTGTAGGTGATGCTTGTTCTCAGAAGCAATCATTGCTTCTTGAGATTTCTTGATGTGCCCGACAGTCGGCTGCAACAACTTCTCATACTGGATACCAAATTCAATGGTTCCCGGAGTTGCGGCACTTCGATTTCCATGCATGAGGAAGTCTAGAGCAGATCTAGGCTTCCACCCTAGATGCAACTGATTAGGACTGACGCCGGTGGTGCTATGTACAAAATTATTGTACAGGCTGGCGATGAGAGGTAGTTTCTCATCCCAGTCATCCTGGCTGGGCTTGATATAGTGCCTCAGTAGATGTTGCACCACACGGTTCATCTGTTCAGCCTGCCCATTGGCTTCACGATGATTCTCATAAGTCATTTGGAGCTGGCTGCCCATCTATTCAACAACCTTTTTCCACATCTCGCTGGTAAACCGGACATCTCTATCACTAACAATCGTCTTTGGAAAATCAAAGTCACCCACGCAGTTATCCATAAATAACTTGATGACGTGCTCCGTCCTGGCAGTCTCGGGCATGGCGATTGGTCTAGCGTACTTAGTGAACCTGTCAACTATGATGAAGATATGGCTCTTGCCACTCTTGCTGATCACGAGGGTATCCATGAAGTCCATAGAAACACTATGTCCCGGACCAGCAGGAATGGGTAAAGGCTTTAGTAACCCAAGCGGGGCTTGAGTCCGCAGCTTATCCCGCTGACAGACTTGGCAAGTCTAAATGTAGGTCTTTGCATCATCAAGCATGTTAGGCCACCAGAGTCGTTGCACCAAGTTAGCACTATTCTTCTTGTAGCCGAAGTGTCCTGTTGCATCATGACACTCACCTAAAAATAAACTACGCAACATCTCTCTAGAAGGCACAACTAGTCTCTTGAACCTGACCTTCTCAAGAAAGAGCAACCCATCCACCATCACAAACTTATCAGTTGTGGCCTTGTGCTGGGCCTCAAGTTTGCGAATGATGTCCATCATGACGGGGTCTTCCTTGTAGGCTTCACCAAGGATCGAGCTACATTGTCCGATAAGCCAAACTCAGTAACCAGCGCTCCCAAGTAGTTTGCCCTATGTGATAGTGCATCAGCAACCTTGTTATACTCTCCTTTCACGTAATCTCGCTTGAGGTCATACTGATCTAAGACTTCAATCCAGCGTTTAAGTGCGTCAGAGAGAACAGGTTGTGTCTTGAGCCACTTAAGTGTCTGATGGTCAGTCCTCAAATAGAAGAACCGTCCCAACAGATAGTGCCTCCAGTGGACAAGTGCCTTGTAGAGGGTATAAAGTTCCCTTTCATAGGTGGACTTCGCAAATTTCTTGGATGGCATCTTCTTGCTCATGTACTGGATCGACCTTAACTTTTTCCCTTCTTGCTGAGCCAACACTGCGCCAATGCCATATTGGCTTGCGTCAATGGTCACTACAAATGGCCTTTGAGGATCGGAAACCATGAGAACCTCATGATGTATAAGGGCATGCTTCAATCTTTTGAAAGCAGCCTCACATGCGTCTGTCCATTCCCATGGAGTGTCAAGGCGCTTTATATCAGTCAAGGGAGATGCGATCGTATTATAGTTTTGTACAAAATTGCGGTAATAACCACACATCCCCAAGAAAGATTTGACCTCAGTCACAGACTAGGGTCGTGGCCAGTCTCTAATGCTAGCCACCTTCACATCTTCAGGCCTAATCCCTTCCACGAATACCTCATGACCCAAGTACAAGATTTTCATGCGACCAAACTCACATTTCTCTATCTTATACTTGTGTTGTCGGAGGAGAGAAAAGACTTTGTCTACATGCTGAGCATGCTCCTCGACAGTCCTACTGAAGATAAGAATGTCGTCAAGATACACAACGATAAACTTATCCAAGTAGTCATGAAAGATCCTATTCATGGCGTGCTGGAATGTACCCGCCGCATTGCAAAGGTCGAAGGGCATCACCACAAACTCGTACAGACCGTACCTGTTTTTTTGTGATGATCTTCCGGTCTAATGGCAATTTGATGGTAGCCGAATTTCAAGTCTATCTTTGTAAAGTACTTACATCCCTGCACACTATCCAATAGGTCATCGATGCGCGGTAGGGGCTCTGCGTTCTTAACGGTGATGGCATTGAGGCCCCTATAATCAATGCACATCCTTAGTGATCCCCCCTTCTTCGGTACGAATAAAACTAAGGAGCCGAAGGGAGAGATGCTTGGCCATATCCAACCTTTTTTTGTGAGCTCTTTCAGTTGCCAATGGAGCTCGTCCAACTCGGTCAGAGTCATCCTACAAATTCTCCCTTTGGGTATCTTGCTCCTAGGGATGATCTCTAGGGCATGGACAACCTCCCTATCTACGACACATGTGGGCTCCTCGAACAGATCAGGGTACTTAGCGACGAGACTCTCTATCTTTGGGGATGATTTAATGGCCTCCCCTTTTGGCAGAGACAAAGACCCCGTACATACCTTCCTCTTGGTTTTGTTTATAATAGTTATAGAAGGTTGACACGCACAAACACCCGTAGGAGTCAATTAACCCACTAGCTCTATACTTAGCTAGTCCAACGGTCCTCCCATTAGGCAGCTCATGCTTTAGCACTTTCTTGTCCCAGTCAAACTGGGGCTTCGCAACCTCAAGGTAGTACATACCTAACAACATGTCAAACGGTAGGTCGTCACTAACCAGGAACGAAATCTTATGATTCAGTTCCCCTCCTGCATGGGAGAAAGTGCAGACCACGTCCTTGACGTGGTCCTCACCAACATGCGCTCTTTGTTGGCCAGAATAGATGCTACCGGTCTACTCAGGCATTGCACCCGGTCCTGTAGGCGCAGTCTCTCAACGCAGTCGAGACTTATGAAATTTCGCGTGGAGCCGATGTCTACGAAGGCATCACACTTGCGATCACCTACACCAACTTCCACAACGAAGTAATCCCCTCTAGGACCTCGACTTAGTGCCACCCAGGACTCACGAGGGTCCCTTGCCAACCACTCACTTTGTAGGTCCTCCAAGGCCTCAGACACATCCAACAAGTAGAGTATCGTTGGGTCAGGATGCGTCTGCGGGGTGACTAAGGAGTCAATAGCTTCGGCCAACTCTTGAAACGACGAGGGTACATCACCCGCTTCAACACGAGTAGAAGCAACTACAACTTCTACTGGCCCTATGTGTTTCCCGAGCCGAAACTAGTGGAGGCACCAATCTGGGAAGAAGGAAACCCACCTTTTGCTGGTATCTTTTGCGAGACCTTCGCGTTCTTGCATTGAACTGCTGATGGCCATACTCGCCGCTGTTAATGCAAGCACCCCGCGTGTAACGATCCCGCATCTTGATCCAAACCCGCACGAACCCATGCCGCTATCTTGTTCGGGTTGGGGCTTTGCCCCTGACTCCTCTGTTGACCGCCCTTGCTGCGACCACCTGCCTTTCCTTTTACTACTGCAGCGAGGTTGCTAGCCTCAACACTATCCTCCTTGTCAAACTTTGTACCGTCCACAAGATCAGACACATCATCCAGCTCAGTTTGATTCCCTTCGGGATCAACCATCGTTAATCGACTACCCTTCTTTTTCCACTCTTGTGGACTCTTCTTCTTCCTTCTGTCAGTAGAGGGTGTCTGAGCACCTCCTAGCATAGCCTCTAAGTCTAAGGCCTTTTTGCTAAAGGTCTCAAACGTGTGATACTCTAGTCGAGCCTCACTGGCAAGCGAGTTCTTGATGCCAACGCGAAGACACCTCAAGAACATGGTCAATAAGACCTGTGGATTATTTTGTACACCAGGGACGACAACCAAACGCTCTACGGTAGAGGTGAGCTCGCGCACATACTTGTACTTTTTTGCATCAAGTTCTAGCAACCCATCAGCGGCAGTCCGTGCTTGTTGTGGGTTGTGCCATCGCGCTTCCACCAAATCCATAAAACTCTTTAGGGTATGGGTCTTAGCCCAATCACCCATGTTCCTGTCGAATCCCTTTGAAAAAACTAATCCATTTAGCCAGCGAGTTGTTGAACCTTCTAGGTAAGATGTAGTTGTTATCACTTCTTCCTCTACCAGTGTCCTCTTCGCCCTTACCCACACTGGAACCGTTCTCAACCAGGTGTCGAGAGCCTTCTCCTTCTTATCACCTGAGAAGGTGGAGAGTGGTTTCAATGGGGTTTTGGGGTACCATGGTTGTTGCTGTCCCACCGGTGAGCCAGGTGGCGGCTCAGGTGTAGCACCAGCGGGTGGACCAGAAGATGAAGAAGCAACAGTCTGAGATGAAGTTGTTGATGAAGTACCGCTTGGTGTGGTACCAGACTGAGGCGGATACAGGCCTGTCATCGCTGAGAATGACAGCGATGGCAAAACTGCTGGCCTGACTCCTGGCCTATGCATGGCATTCAGGATCTGGTCCAGGGTATCCTCGATAGCGTCCAGTTTGCCGTCCATGTACACGTGCATGGACAGGATGCTCGCCTTGTGAATCTTTGTAGTGTTGTCAAGCGTCGAGTCATCTAACCCCTCTAAAGCAGCTTTGTATGCCATCCTACCCAATAGTTTGACACTTCTATTCCTAATCTCATTCTCTCTTTCAGTAGCCTTTTTAAGTTCCTCCTCTACCCTTAAGCGGATCCTCTCTACTTGTTGGAGCTCCATATGCTCCCTGGTGCATGGAGGGGGCGAGCTGGACTGCACGCCTGCCATCTGATTGGTTTCGGAGCCTGTCGTAGTGGAGATGGACTGCGCGTTAGTGTCCGACATTCCAAGCGTAAAGTCAGACGAGGCAGACGTTGCTGCAGAGGTAGCCATTGCTACTGCGCTAGCCGCTGCAGCTGCCATCGTTCTTTCTACAGCTGTTGCAGCTTCCCTCACAGTCTCAAGATTACGGGCCCTTGCTTCAGCCCTTAGCCTTCTCTCTTTTCCTAGTAGCAGGACCTGGAACACTACAGGTACCCTAAGCATATCACGCCTAGTGAGCCTTCTATCAGTTGTACCTTCACCACCCTTTGATCCACTCATCGGCTACGCAAGCACTGTCTTCACTAGTGTCCACTCCGAAACCTACCACAACAGGCGTCTGAACGGTTCTAAGAACAAATAAAAATATAAATAATATTCGGCGAGTTACCAAGACTACCGTTCAAGTGGTATTAACAACATTTACACAGACCGAACACATAGTCTAAACCTACTTTGATAAGTTCTCTTACAAAAGTTTTGAGAAAAATTGACTATGGTAGAACATTACAGTCGTACTCTAGGCTATCTGTGAGGTGTCAGCAGTCAATCAACCAACTAATAAAAATAAAAATAAACTATGTGTGCAAATGTATGCACAATGGGTATAGTTGTGTTTCTCTGTTGAGTCTCAATTGGAATCTTCCTCCCCTGTATCCAACATGCCTGTAGCCATCATCAAGCGGCAGTGTCTAAGGTGTAGCGGCCCACCCCTGTGCCCAAGGTGTATGCTTATGACTAGAACTGTCCGTTCTTTACCTTCGAGTGCAATGAGCCTTACGTCTAACTAATCTGGCTGATCAAGAGGCAGTTTAAGGACAGGCCCCAAGGTCCTCATGAATTATTTAACATCGCAATCAGGACGACGATCACAGCCAATGGACAGATCAGACACCCGCCAGATATATTTATAGACGGTCTGGATAGCGTCCGCAAAGGACTGGTCAGTCCACACACCCCTTCTATCAGCGCAGCAAAGAGCCTCAAATAACAAAGCAGCAAGGCCTGCGTGTACTACTCCCATGGGTTGGCATGGTGACCCTGACCCGTGCTTCGACCAGGGCCCTTCAGAGGCACCGCCCTCTCCTCCCAGATGCGCCACCGGGAAGAATGTCGTCTCTCAAGGTAGAGCGCTAACGACTCCTCACACAAAAGAGAGGACACTCAAGGTTGGACTCACTTCCTCACTGTAAGAAGAGATTGAGAGGGTAGATAAGGTAAGGGAACAACGTACCTGGAGATAGCTGCCCCCAACCACAAATTTCTCACCAATTGAGTCGATGTGCATTTCGATGACCGGTCATAGCTTTGGTACCACCCACAACGCAATGCAGTGCCACCTCAGCCAAAATGCCACATCAGCATGCTCTCATCATCATACATACATTCGCTGTCGCCACAGAGTCGCCACAGCCTTCCAGCGGCCGGCCCCTCTACCTGGCCCCCGCTATATCAGGCCAGCGCCAAAGTATCCTTACTGCACAGAAGCATCGTCAGCGCACCAAGTAACAATGTTGCCAGCGCTAGGTAAGTGGCGATCTTGAACCAGCTCCGATACCAAATTGCAAGGAATATGAGTGGGAACGATATTCAGAAAGCCAAGTTGCGAAATCACACAGATGTCCAAGTAGTCGTGTACAAGCAGAGAGCACAAATGTACTGAGATTCCTTCCAAATAAGAGCAATACAATGAAGTAATGCGCCAATGTTCAAGTCCTCAGGCCACACCAACACAGTATCCAAAGTCGCTCCTCTCTGTCTGGCGCTCAGCGCCCAGCCTACACTACTCAACTATCCTACCTACATCAGCATTCTCGCAACAGGCTCACTTCAACTCTCGAAGACCAATGTACATGACGTCAACACCATAGCCGACCCCTCTCATGTACCAGGTACGTATCTCATCTCCCCTCATCAGACCCTGTCCACCCACACTTGCCTCCTTCCTGAAGACCACCGATCGCCCTCTTACCCCCTAGCGCCCTGCAGCCCCGGCTACGGCTGCTAGCGCTCCACTGCCCAGCAGCGCCCCTCTCACCTCTCGTGCGCCCCGCAAGCGCCCTGGCTGCAACACAGCACGCAGCCTCTAACACAGCAGCGCAGCAGCGTGACCGCATTGCCTGCGTGGGCCAGAATGCCAGACCCTGGTTGCCTTCCTTCCTATATGGAAGTGGCAGCCTCTGCTTGGCTGCGGGTGGCCTGGCTGGAAGCTTCCAGTAGCTTCCGGTTGCTCCCCAGCGCCTGCGCCCAGGCCCAGTGCTACAGTTGCGGGCCTGGGCCCTTTACAGTTGGGCACGGCCTGAGTCTCTGGACTGGGGCCGTTTGCTGCATTTGCACAGGACCCGGGGTATGTACGTCGACAGTGCTGCTTCTGCGCAGGCCTGTGGCCACTTCGGGATATATCGGCCTTGCATTGTGTGTATGTGCCCAGGCGCAACTGCCAAGGCCCGGGCAAAACTGTGCTTAGAGAGGGTCACACGCCCACTCAACCAACTGGCGGGCTGCAACAGCCTGAGTACCCACGTATGCAAAATGTTGAATTTGACCTTTAGTAAACATCCAGGCCCGCCTTCACTTAGGGTGGGCACTTGGCTTGCTGGGGGCCTCTGCCCAGAACATGTGCATGCTTGACAAGGGCCCCGCGAGGGCTCATTCCCGGCAATAATAATAATAATAATAATAATAATAATAATAATAATAATAACAATAATAATAATAATAATAATAATAATAATAATAATAATAATAAAGTATTTAGCGGGCTCAGACCATACTCACACTAGGACCTTTTCTACAAAGCTCTAGATGCGATTGCTGCCAGATTCATCCACGTCTGGTCGTAACTGCAGTCAGAATCTGTCAGATACATTTAGGAAAGTGCTCATCTGAGTACGGTCGTCGCTCCACTACTGTTGACATGCACAAAAGACAAAAATCATGGTGGTGTACCTTTTTTTTTTTTAATTAATTTATATATATAATATAATATATATCGTCAAATAGAACTGCCCGGTAAACCGTAGGCAGAGAGGGAGATATATATATATTGTCACATCACTACAAACTAAAAGATCGCACTTTGCGGAACAAAGAATAAAAGCAAAAAACGGGCACAGTGATAACATGCAAAAATAAAAATAAAAAGAAAAAGAAAAAGAAAAAACAAGGGCAGATTGAAACCATTAAATTTCTCATTCTTCTTTGAACTCCACCT